GGCCTTTTGAACACCTGCTAATGTTTTTATAAATGTATGGTTTAATGTAACTGTGCAACAACGTTGCAATTAAATGTGCTATATAAATGATAACAGTTACTCCGCCCACTCCAGTTGTAGACTACTGGTGGAGGCAAGAACACTTCACACAATTTCCCCAGAAATTGTAACTTTTCTAGTTTTGGATTGTTCCTGTGACGAGAGCAATCTCGCCGCATTGGAGAAGCCTGGTTGCTCGCCTGCTGCCTTTGGCCTATGGGCCCATGTTAAAAGACATCTTTTTCCCTGCAGAAAAGACTTATTCATGCTTTTCTGCCCGGTGTACGGTAGATTCAATCTACCAAACAACCGCACGAATGAATAGACCACCTGGGAGCTGGAGTGTGCCTGCAATCAGCCTCCTAGAAGCTGTGGTTAACCTTGTTCGGGAGTGCACGAACGGCCTGATGTTTTTAACTGGCTTTGTGAAGACTTTGGCTCCATGGCAATTAAACTGTATTCGTGTGGTCTGAGCGCCATTCGCTTAATAATGTGCGCTCAGACCTGTGCTATCTGAGGATGTTAAATGTATAGTTTTAATGTAATGTGTCTTACCTGGTGTATTTTAATAATTCTTGTTTTAGTATCACCACATGCATAATGGCGATTTGCCTTTGTCCTGGGAGATAACTGAATTACTTCTCAATTATCTCCCAGGGCAGAGGGGAGGAAGCCAGGATGCATTGTGGGAATATACTGTGACTGTGTGTCCTTTTTGTCTACTTGTCTGTCCCTTGTCACAGTCTCCCATTTGGTCCCCTAGGGGAGTGTCCACCAGGTGGGAGACCTGCATAAATACTGGGCAGGTAGCCCTCATTAAACAGACCACTGCTTGACCCTCAACATGGAGCCTTGTCTCGTCTTTGGGGGGATTTACTGAATGCTGATAGAGACTGATTGCTAGGAGTGTAAGCCATTTGGATGCTTTTCCTATTCGTCTGCTAGCAGCTATTTGATGGTTCCAGTTCGGGAGTTTGGAGTGCTATATTTTATGCAGTTCGGGAGATTGAAGCATTCCCTTATTTGCGGTTCGGGAGTTTGGTGTTCTACAGTAGCTGTGCCTGCATCTCTGAAAGGGGGATGATCGCATAAACTGTTTTAACCCCTTGTGTGCAAAACGGTCCGTTACAGTTCCTTCAGTGCATTGTATGATGGGATTGCATGGAATTGGGAGCCCGAGCTCCTTTCCCCAGCAGCAGGACTCTGTATTAGGAGCAGAGACAGTCTGTCTCCCTCCCCCGCGGCTGGAAGTATGTATGGGAGATGAGCTTGTTACCCCCTCTCCCCAGCGGCAGCTTAATGTACCGGGGGAGACGGTAAGCCCCACAACCGTGCAGATGGGACAGTGGTCTCTGCACGTACAGCACAGGGGGTAGGGACGGTCGGTTCTGCCCCCCAGCAACATGGCTGTGTGTCTAAAGGGTAGACAGTCGGTCTCCAGCAGCAGGGCTGTCTCTCTAAAGGGGAGACAGTCGGTCTCCCCCTCCAACAACCAGGCTACCGCACCAGTAGCGCTGGCACCAGGGCAGAGTACCGCTGGTCTCCGCCCACTCAGCAACCCACCAAGTCAGCGTACCCGTACCCAGCACAGCCGTGGTGAGGCACTTGGACATGGACAAGCTTCTCCTCTACCCAGGTGTAGTGGCCATTTATTGTGGGTGGGCTGTGCTGTTGATTGTTTTGTGGGTGGGCTGCTGGACTAACAAGGGCACTGACTGGCAGGAGGTCAGATACCTTGTTAGTCTGTTTGGAAAAGGGGAGAGATGTGACGAGAGCAATCTCGCCACATTGCATTGGAGAAGCCTGGTTGCTCGCCAGCTGTCTTTGGACTATGGGCCCCATGTTACGACATCTTTTTTCCTGCAGAAAAGACTTATTCGTGCTTTTCTGCCCAGTGTTAGGTAGATTCAATCTACCGAACAACCGCACGAATGACTGGACCACCTGGGAGCTGGAGTGTGCCGGCAATTAGCCTCCCAGAAGCTGCGGTTAACCGCAGCTTAATTGACAACTACTGGGTGGCCGCCATTCGTATCACGAACACGAGGTCGCGGCCATTTTAAACACGCGGACGCACAGCGGTGTTCGACGTCTAACTCATGGAACTAAAACCGGACACAGTTTGGCGCAAACACCGCTGAAGCCGCCGACCTCCCTTATTGTTCGACTGGAGTGCACGAACGGCCCGGTGTTCGGTAGTTTTATCTGACTGTGTTATAACCCAGATAGAAATCCCATGGAGCTCATTCGTATGAGAACTGACTTTGTAAAGACTTTGGCTCCATGGCGATTGAACTGTATTCGTGTGGTCTGAGCGCCATTCGCTTGATGTGCGTTCAGACCTGAGCTATCTGGGGATATGTTAAATATATAGTTTTAATTTAACATGTCCTATATGGTGTATTTTAATAATTCTTGTTTTAGTATCCCCACGTGCATAATGGCGATTTGCCTTTGTCCTGGGAGATAACTCAATTACTTCTCAATTATCTCCAAGGCAGAGGGGAGGAAGCCAGGATGCATTGTGGGAATGTGTCTGTGTCCTAAATTGATACTTGTCTGTCTTTTGTCAGTCTCCCATTTGGTCCTCTAGGGGAGTGCACCAGGTGGGAGACCTGCATAAATACTGGGCAGGTAGCCCTCATTAAACAGACCACTGCTTGACCCTCAACACGGAGCCTTGTCTCCTCTTTGGGGGGATTTACTGATTGCTAGTAGTGGAAGCCGCTTGGATGCTTTTCCTATTCGTCTGGTTCCAGTTCGTGAGTTTGGAGTGTTATATTGTATGTAGTTCGGGAGATTGGAGCATTACCTTATTTGCGGTTCGGGAGTTTGGTGTTCTACAGTAGCTGTGTCTGCATCTCTGAAAAGGGGACAATCGCCTAAACAGTTTTAACCCCTTGTGTGCAAAACGGTCCGTTACAGTTCCTTCAGTGCATTGTGATGGGACTGGCAGTCCATGGTTATTTTGGATTGTTCAGTGCATTGGGATGGGATGATGGGACTGGCAGTCCATGGTTATTTTGGATTGTTCCTTCAGTGCATTGTATGATGGGACATATAATCAATTATTTTCCCATTTAGTTGGAGTTAAGTCTGGTTTATTTCCTGTTTGGGTTTTGTATAGTTACTTCCCCAAAAATTTGGATCCCAGGTCCCATTAAAGCACAAAAAACTTATTTTCATATAGATGGTATTTCCTCCCCTAATTACGCAGTCGTGTTGTCCGGTCCCCGGGGATGTTAACACTCTAAATTACAACTTGTTCCTTCACTTTTTTTTTTACTTTTAACATTAGTGTAACACTTCATTTGGTCTGTAAACGTGTAAATTGTGGCTTTAAAAATATTGTGCTAAACTTGTCTAGTTCTGTTAGCTTGCTAAATAACCTCCCAGTAAGTCCGTGTCTCATGACAGAGGCATAATCTATAGACAAACTGCTTCATTACGCTAAACTTGTTTTTGTGATTAGTGATCTTACCTAAAACTTGTATTTTAGAAATATATTTTGTAAGAATGTGGAAATCCATCCACCTATGTCCTGGGAGCCTCATCTTGGCTCCCTGTCAATCATTCCACATGGCAGTCGGCAAACAAAGGTGGAGCAATGACTGCTTTAATGCGCCACATTTCTGTTTAGTGAGAACCCAGAGACAGACCTGGTTGATTCACTATTATCACTACTTTGTGTTATTCAAAGTCTGGGTTCGTGCAGCATTTAAGCCATTTAGCAGATATTTGCAATTCCTCCTCTAACAATTTCCAGTTAGGTGAATAAATATAACTTCCTATGGCGACAATGTATAGTTAGCATTATTAAACTGTACTGCTCCTGCATTTAATATATAAATCTCAATGTACAGTACAGATGTTGAATAAGCAAATTACTATTTTACTGTTTAGCTGTCCATATGTACAGAATTCCCACCTCCAGTCTGCTGTGTACATTTGGGCGTTGTCAGTGTCTGCTTTGTTCAATTTAAACGTGTCTGACAGCTGCCTGCAGATGGTGAAAAATTGAGTCCAGTACTGCCATCTAGAGGGGTAATGGGTATTACTGGTTATGAAACTAGACCAAATCATGACTTGGAAACACATAGTTCCAGTTCTGAAAGGGTCGGTAATAGCAAGAGCTTGTAATGAGACATTGATATCAAGTGATGATTTAAGATGTTGAATACTTTACTTACATCATGTAAATTCTATCTTACAGGTGATATTTGGACCAATGTTTTCTGGTAAAAGGTAAGTTCATCTATATGCAGTTAAGGAAGTGGCAGAACAAAACTCCAGTGGTATTGAATTGATTTCTGGCGTAAATTTGATCGGTGTGCGGCTGAGAGGGACTAATAACGTTTGGTGGTAATGCTCTTATTTCTAATTCTGGGACACACTCTTAACTTATATCGCCAGCATCCCTATATCAAACCATTTTCAGGAAACCTTTCTCCACATCTCACCCAAAACCAAGGAGTGAGTGCCCAGTCCATAGCATTTCACCACCTTAACGCTGCAAAAGTACGTGTATCTAAATAGTGGGACAATCCACCTATTCATGAATGCCTTCCTAGCGTAGTGTAGGTTTAGGGTCTATGGAGGAAATTAAATATTCACTATTCAATCAGGGTACCAGCCACAAAATTGGCATGCATGGAACTTGTTTAGATCGGATGGGCACACGCCCGTACCAATCATCTATGGTATAAATAGCTATTGTCTGGCATGAGACTTATCTACATTTACACTACAGCCATCTGAGTATTCCCTTCTTACTGAGGGACAGCCATTTCATAATGTGCCCAATCACAGATATTACTGCATGTTTCACATTATCCAATGCTTTACTGTTTTGTTTTTTAAACTGTATCGGTAACATGTCTTGTTAATAGCGTACTGGGGAAATGTACAATGATATCATGGAGTTATCCAATAGGGCCAACTTAGAATGAGTAAACTATGGTGTTGACTAAAAATACCTTTATTCTACTTGAACAACACATGTTTAGTCCTAGATTGTAATTGCTATCAGTTACTCATACCGTGATCACACACTTCATAAAAACATGGTCAACTTCATTATACTTTATTTTGCTTGTTGTACATTGTTACAAATGTCATACTATATGTAACTGTGAAAACATTTGATAAAATAGACATGTGGTAGAGCAGTTCACTTAGTATGTATTTATTTATTTTTAGCACCGAGCTAATGCGCAGAGTCCGTCGATTTCAGATTGCTCAGTACAAATGCATGGTGATCAAATACGCCAAGGACACACGTTACAGCAAAGAGCATCTTTCCACACATGACAAGTGAGTTATACATCCATGTTACAACTTTTAACATATCTACCCAGCAGACTAATACTTTCCTTGTTACAAAGGGCAGTCAACTCTGCTGCAGAAATTGGCTTTTAAACTGTCACAGGGTAAATTCTACTGATATACCTTCTACTGTAATGTGTACTATATAAAATATACATATACCATATACATACTGCACTTGCCACTTCCTGATATTATTGGATCTTTCCTATAATTTACTGACAATGCACATTTTTAACAGAAACACAATGGCAGCAGTTTCTGCATGCATCCTGCAAGAGGTTTCTAAGGAAGCTCTGACCTGCAGTGTGATTGGAATTGATGAAGGGCAATTTGTGAGTATCTGCTCTTATATTAAGTTACTTTTTATTCTGTTCCTTAACCATTCTTGACTATTCACAAATTATCTGTCTGCAGTTCCCTGACATAGTAGACTTCTGTGAAGAAATGGCCAATCAGGGGAAAACTGTGATCGTGGCTGCCCTGGATGGCACATTCCAGAGGAAGGTAGGCAGAGTATAATGAGCACTGGGCAATAAACGTATAGCCTTCCTGTAGATTGTTTAATCTTTGGCTGCTTCATTTGGCTGTGACAAATTAAGTACTCTTTCTGGTTTATCTAGGCGTTTGGTGATATTCTTAATTTGGTACCTTTGGCAGAGAGTGTGGTGAAGCTGAATGCAGTCTGCATGGAGTGTTATCGGGAGGCTGCTTACACCCAAAGATTAGGAACAGAGAAAGAGGTATGTTTTTTTTTTGTTTTTTTTTTTCCCCTGTAGCCTTTTTTAAAAATTTTATTTTTATGAAAATTTGAATTCCTGAGGTGGCATGTTTGCATGGTAGTGTTACATTGCAGGGTTAATCCAGTCTCCTAGAGGCGCTTCTGCGACGCTGGATGCGAAAATCACATTCAGCGTGCAGAACGTCCATAGGAAAGCATTGAGAAATCAGTGGGAGGCAAGGTCACCAGTGCTGAGGGAGCCCAGCATTGGATTAAGGCAAGTAACCCCTTCAGCACCAAGGGAGGGGGGGGGCCTAAGGGTTATAGTGTCAGGAAAATTAGTTTGTTTTCCTGACACTAGTGATCCTTTACTATACATAGTACTTCTCTCCTGTAAGTGCAGGCTTGTGATCCACCCCAGTTTTTATTTATGTACAACATAAAGTGTATCACTTTAGTTCTGCCATCAAGGATTAATTGTAAGACCTTTTTAATAGTGAGCATTCGTATTCTTTACTCATCACAATTTCTCTAGAAACCTACTTGCCCAGACAGGTCCATTCCATTCTAAAAGCATAGATTCTCGAGACCTTTTTAATGTAGCCATTGTGGTTGGGGTGTCATTACCAAATATTAAAAAGTTAGGATTCCTAGCTTTCATTCTAGGCTCTCGACATGCTACATGTACAACTTTCCATTCATTTTATTAGCTAGAGGACGACGTTTAACACCAAATGACAATCCTTTTCCAATTACTTACCTATGCCTCGTATCTTTGTTTAGATCTGCATTAATTTTGACACTGGCATAATGAGTAAAATAAAACAACTTTGTCTTGACTGATCTTATAAATCTAATCACTCTTACTTTATTTTTGTGCTTATTTGATAAACTCTATGTAAAACACCTGAAATCTAGAATGACCTAGCTGGGTTAACATGCTTTAACTCAGTTTTCAGAAGATCAGCATTTATATGCAGGAAGGAATCCAGTATATTGCACAAACCAATATTTCAACAGTGTACAATATATGTTGTGTATGTACTAGGCTTAGTTTGTTCATATGCATTTTGTATCTTTGTATGTTCTGCATTCATGATTTTATTTTTTAATTTTATTGAAATTTATTTTTCATAGTATCAAAAGAATCATGTAACAAAATATATTCGATTGATATAATAGACACGACATTTTATAAAGACTGTCTGAGACGGACTCTGTCACAAGACCAAGAGAACCCTCCGTCTATACAGAGCAAAGAGGATTTCTAATATTTCGCAGCCTTCTAGATACAAGTCTTATTAAAATATAACAATACAAAATTCGCCCGCTTGTAACCACTATTATTGGATATTTTTACACTGTTAGAGTACCATTCTCTTTTTGGGGGGAAAAACCGTCCTATTATGTCTTTTTTTTTTTTCTATTGTCAGTTGAAATATAATTTGATCAAAGGGGATTTCTGGAATGGGTTAGAGGACTTCCAATGTCTAGCAATAATGATTTTAACTGTACCAAAGCAGTTAAAATTACTTATATCATATTTAAATCAATATATCTGACTTTAATTGCCAATTCAATTGTAGAAGGGCGGAAGCTGGATTTTTATTGAGTTTAAGTGTAACTGTGTAGAAGATATTAAATGCCCACACCCAAAGCGCTTTGACTAGTGGACAGGCCCACCATATATGAATGTATGTGCCTCCGTGCGTGCCACATCTCCAAATAGAATCGTATGTATTGTACATTTTGGCCAGTCTTGTTGGGGTAAAATACCATCTGTGTATGACCTTGACATGGCATTCAGTCAGATTAAGACAATGTATATATTTGATTGCATAAATTTTAAATGTTCTTTGTTACAGGTGGAGGTCATTGGAGGGGCTGATAAATACCACTCTGTTTGCAGACAATGCTATTTCCAAAAGCAGAGCCCAAGTGGAGGCAAAGAAAACAATCAACTTCTAAATGTTATGGACACTACCCCTTATAACAATATTTTAAAAAGAAAATCCCAGCGGACACCACTAACCACGCTACCACACTCACAGAACATGGTATCCTGACCAAATTGTACGGTTTCGGCAACGCCTGTACCTGCTTTATTCCAGGGGTATCATACTGCAACTTCCCAAGTTGTATTGGGCTACAGCTCCCATAATAACAATCACTGTATACTGAACCACCTGTAGGGAACCTGCAGCTAAACATGGTCCGTGGGGTTGGAGAAACAAAATGTGCTGGGAATATTTAATAATGTGCTTATTAATAAACTTTTTATTGTGTAACTTCTTCCCTGGGATCATACATTACTGGGAAGAAAATAGCTTTTGTTTTATGTAGAGAGCTGCTGATGAAATTGCTGTGGAAGGTTTATTAATACTGTAAACTGGGCAGAGCAGCCCTTAAAAGAGGAGTCTAATTTAAATATGAAAAAATGAACAGCCCTAGAGGAATTAACTTGATACAGTACTTTGTGAACTCTCATGTTCCTTCCATTTGACAAGTGCAGATTTCAACAGACATTACCACTTTAACAATTATCCTTGTAATACCACCCAGCTGTCAGACACCTGTTCCTGTTACTTCTGGGTTTGGCTAGCTCAGAGGAGATAAACGTAGGAGACTGCAATTGCCCAGAGCACCTGCCTTGTGAAGACTTCTTATTGAGCTGCATTGGGAAGTCTGTGATTGGACAGCCAAGTCTGGGCAGGTTTAGAATGAGAAGGCTTGAAAAGACGGCAGACGAGATCTTGTCTGTTGCTGCACTCTGTACAGAGCCCCAAACTGGCTCTGGAAGAAACATCAGCACAAAAACTATCAGGAGCTTTAAGAAATTTGTGAAAAACAATAGAAAATAAAGTGAATAAATCCCTAAGTTGGTAGGTGCTACTATCGCCTTTGTGGGCCACACAAACCACAAACAAAGTGAATAATACAAGATAACTGATAGGTGAGAGCACACAAAACAAAGAAATACTACCCACACTGTAGTCAAATGATCTGGGAAAAAAACAAATAAAGAAAACAGAGTAGTATATCTTGATACAATATATTAACAAAAGGTGCCAATCACACTCACATAGAGCCACTTAGATAGCTGGCTCAAACTTGATGCCTTAAATATATAAAACAGGTCCTTCACTGGGAACTTTTTTCCTTTGAATGTAAAATCTCCAGAACGCAGAATTAGGAGTAAATACTTTATTCTTCAAAATTATGAAGTGAATAAAACCAAAAGGTAATTAAAAGTCCCAAAAGAACCAGTCCAATCACTTGACGCGTTTCGGCTGTTCGCCTTCCTCCGAAGTGATATCCATATCCAAGGCATCTGAATTATATACTTGAATTTTGGCGCCCTTTCTCCCTTACATCCTTCCGTTCCGGTTTTTGACGTCGGGACGCCCTCTGCGTCATCACGTTCCGCGTCAAGTGATTGGACTTGTTCTTTTGGGACTTTTAATTACCTTTTGTTTTTATTCACTTCATAATTTTGAAGAATAAAGTATTTACTCCTAATTCTGCTTTCTGGAGATTTTACATTCAAAGGAAAAAAGTTCCCAGTGAAGGACCTGTTTTATATATTTAAGGCATCAAGTTTGAGCCAGCTATCTAAGTGGCTCTATGTGAGTGTGATTGGCACCTTTTGTTAATATATTGTATCAAGATATACTACTCTGTTTTCTTTATTTGTTTTTTTCCAGATCATTTGACTACAGTGTGGGTAGTATTTCTTTGTTTTGTGTGCTCTCACCTATCAGTTATCTTGTTTTAAGAAATTTGTGTTCATTCTGAGCAGCTGTTCAAATTAAACATCAACAGGAACAATGCCACATGTTGCCCTGTACAGCACTCCACCACTGGACTATAGAGCTGTGGGAAGGTGCTCTCTGGAGTGCTGAATCAGGTGTCACTATGGTGGATTCCATGGGCTACTAGCATTCACAGTGCTTACTGTAAATGTTTGAAAGGAAAATGAGTTTGGGCTAGACCGGGCAGTTCCCATGAAGAGCCATCTTAATGCTACAGGATATAAGAACATTTTAGACTATTTGTGCTTCCAACATTGGAGAAGCCACTCCTGTTCCAGCATGACTGTGCCCAAAGCCAGGTCCTTGAAGGTATATCTTAATGTGCAGGAAGTCTAGTGGCCTTCACAGAGCCCTGCCCTTAATCCAATGAAATCCTATTGGATGAATTACAATGACGTTTGTAAATAAGCACTCATCCAACGTCTGTACCTGACCTCACAAATCCCTATATCTATAATCCAACTTTGTGTGAGAAACTGCCTCATGGCTGCATTGGGGATTCAACTCTATAGTAATGCCCCGTGATTTGGATTTTGTACGTCAAACAAGTGCTTATAGGTGTGATGGGCAGCTATCCATGACCAAACAGTAATTTATTCACAACTAATGCAACTAAATTATAACAAAACAGATTCACTTATTGGCTTGCTTTGTTAAAATTCCTTCTATCTAGTAGGAATGTGCATGAGGAAAATTTTCGGTTTGACACTTTGGAACTTCTCTTGCAGCCGCTTAGTAGATAATTCCCAAAATTTTTTTACTTTCAGACAAATTTACTACGAAGTAAAAACATTACTTAGTATTAGTAAATAATCTGCCCCTACTATACAACAGGCTGCTCACTGTTCTATAAAAAAGGTCCCCCCCACCTGCGCCACGCGAGTGGGGGCTTTTACAATCGGTGTTATGAGTCAAGTTACACAGCGTGGGAAAATTCCAAAGAACTTTCCCACGCTGTGTAAAATGACAGCACTCTGATGGATTTCAAGCTAACCAATCAGAGTGCTGTGACAGGTAAATTTAGAGACTTACCTGCCAGAGCTCTCTTATTGGATGGCTTAAACCCACTAATCAGAGTGCTATAAGCCTTCCCCCGCCCTACAGAGCTCAGTCTGCGCAGAGCCTTCATGGGTGAAGGATTTTATTTTATTTTTTGTGCACGTCGGTTATTATGGATTTTTTATTTGGCCTTTTTGGGGGCTGAAAAGAGATTTTTAGAAGAAAGAAAACATCAAATGGTAATTTTTTTTATTTATCTTTTTACAGGTGCTTAGTTAAAGGTTCCCCCCTTGTTATTTTTAGGGTGGGGGGTGTAGGTAGGGGTTAATAATTTTTTATTTAATTTTTTTTGGGGTGGGGGTAACTAAGGGTTTGGGGGGTAACATTTTTATTTAGGTCCCCCACCTGCCGCTCAGGGGGAGGACATTAGGTGTGTCCCCCCCCTTATTAAGTATTTAGGGCCCCCACCTACCGTTCAGGGGGGGAGGACATTCAGGGGGGGAGGACATTAGGGCCCCCCTTATTTTACTGTAGGGCAATAGGTCCCTTCAGGTTAGAAGCCCCCACTCGCACGGCTCGGTAGGGCAGGACTTTTTTGTTTTGTTTAATAGACCTGCTATACTGCGAGTAGGGGCATAATTTACTAATCCTAAGTAATCTTTACTTAGTATTAATAAATTTGTCTGAAAGACCAATTTAGGTCTTTTAGTAGATAGCTCCCTAATACCGTGGGAATTAGGGAGTTATCTACTTATTCATTCATGTCATTACACTGACTGGCTAAGTAACTTAAATTTTATAAGAATGTATGTTACTTGATTGTTGTAATTGTTGCAAATGCTTACAGCTGAATCCTGGCTATGTTTGTATACTTTTTATTTAAAATTGTATACAGTGTAACATTTTTCCACTGGGTAAGTATATTAGCTCTTAGCCAATACTGTGCTCTGGTAATTTCGGAACTTGGGCAATTCATCCATTTGGAAGTATCCGAATGTCCGAATTTAGCCAGAATTCACATTTGGACTGAAACGAATTGGCCAGGTCTACTATCTAGGACAATGAAGGTTTCTGGAGTTTATTATGGCTGTCATTGTTTGTTCACTCATTGCGATAGACCTGCATTCAGTCACCTGTAACAGACAGAAAGCTGCCAGTGACTGAGCCCCAGATTATCTCAAGGCTACAGCTGCTCGCAGTATGATTTGTTTATAAGGAATAGATTCCTCCATATATATATTGTACAGTGGAGTCAATGAAACCAGGACATAGTGGATTTTGTGAATACATTTTATTAGAAGACACTGCATTAAACACAAACACACCAGACATGTCCTGTGATTAAAGCTGATCTGTGACATTTAAAATAGTTTGGAAAAGAGCAGATTCAGTCATTTAAGGTTTTGATATGGTTCTGGCATTGGATATTTCATTTCCTGATACCACAACATGGGCATTTTATCCTTATTTACGCACGTTACCTTAATTTTCACATACGTTAGGCAAGCCCGATATAGATTTAACTTACCAACATACGTTTTCTGAAACAAGTACTGCCCTTTGTTTAACAAATATATATATTTACTTACAGGGTTATTCAGTAAATGGGAATTCCAAGTGGTCGAACAGGCAACTTAGAGAATGTTTATATTTCAGCTAATACGACCTTAAATTTGTAATTAACGCTGAATAACTTTTCACCCTGTTGCAGTGCAGATAGATGCTCACATTATACAGTTCTGCTTCCTATTAATGTATGGATGTCGGATATGTTGCCAGGTCCACGATTTCTTGGGATCCACAAAACTTCGTAATGAAAGTCCTACTGCACTGTATGTAGCATTCACATGCTGCATGATTCACCTGATTAACTTACTGGTAGCATTTGACGTGTCCAGGAAAACGTGGTGGGGCGGGGGGGTAATTACCCGACAAGTCACACAGAATAAGTGCAACAGATCATCTTTAATTTCAACACCAAACAAACACCTAGCTCCCCTACAATCCCACTGCGAAGAAACCTCCCCTGAACTGTGAAAGTGAAAATAACGTCTATTACAGTCGAGTAGAAGGCAATATTGCAATAGCCCTGTGCAACCTGTTTGGGACAAAGCATTCAAAGCATTGAGCAGTGGTTATTTAATCTATAGTATATTCACACAGTTATTCCATGATTGGCACCAAGCAGCAAACTTTAGCCCAGAATAGAGAGGCCAAGGAATCCTCAAACTCCTATTTTTAAACAGTCTAAATTAAAGTCATTAGTCACTCATCACATCTCAATGTTAAGAAAAACATCAATTTGTTAATTGAAAACCATATTACAAATTTCAGACCAAAGCAGGTAATTGGCAAAAACCCACAGTTTAAAGATTAAACCCCTAAGGCAGGCGTCTTCACTAAACCAGAAATTATTAGGAATTCACCAAGAATGGAAAATGTTTTATATTTAGATAATTTTGCCTTAAAATGTGAATTCCAGACAGCTCATGGTTAAGTGGATCAGCCCAAACGGTGTGCAAACTGCAGGAGGCTAGAGGGGAAGTGCTTAAACCAGCTGCATTTTGTGTAAAATAAATTGGGACTAATGTGTATTGGCACTCTCAAACTTCCCTGTCTTTAAGGCACATAAATATCCAGTGAGGCACAAATAAAACATATCCTGGGTCTCCACCAATGTGTAAAAACATAGTATCTCCCTCCCCGACCATCAGATCCAGCATAACGGGATTGGCAGAGAGAGAAAGTGCACACACATGATTTTGGTGCCGAAGACATCTCCTGCAATCAACGCACAGAGATATCTGGTGGCCAGAGAGGTCCAGGCTGGACGGCTGGTGTGAAGCTCATACAGAGTTTGGCAGTCTATGTTCAAGCTTTTCCTACGGGATCCCCTTACTCAGTACAGCGGGGGTTTGTAACCATCCCCTGCATCTGGGTTGTTGGTAAATGGTGGCTGTTGATAGTTGTCGGTTACTGCGTCCGGATAGCTGGAATATGGAGGAGTCGTGTCCTGTGACGGGTCCACGTAGTTTGGATTGAAATCAGCAACTCCCATCCTGTACCTCTTATAAGCAAGTAATGCAAGGGGAACCTGAAACAGGGTGAGTTTAAATGAGCGTTTTTTTTGTTTGTTTTTTTTTTTTAAGCTCCACGCCAGGACAATCATGGGACGTATCCTCCCCCTTTCACCACGTTCTTTTAAACCACTCACTCAAAATAACCCTTTCAACTTACCCAGGAGAGGATGGAGAAGAAGCTAAAAGCAATGGCTGCCCGGGCATTGCTTTGTCCAGTGAGCGGTGGTTCAGGAAGTTCTATACTCCACTGATGGGCCAGAAAGCAAAATCCCACAAACCAAAGGAAGCTCCACAGTGCTGTAAGAAACCAAGAATACAGGTCACGTGACTGAGAACACAGCCAGCCCACATTCTGCTCACACCTGTAAAATAACCTTTTAAACCCAGTTCCACTATTAACGCGGTAACGTTTGTCCTTGTGGGCGATAAACAGCTATTTGCAGCTACTGCCTCTAACTCTGTCCTTCTCCCTTTAATGGTATGCGGGGAGAGAGAGAAACAGATCATCTGCCAGCACATCAGTAATAGAGCTGAATTAACAGTGGGAGCTGCAAACAGCAGTACCTACCCAGGAATGTAACTCAGTTTAACCTCAGACAGGGCAAGAAATGAGGGGGGCTGCACTGCACAGTCCTGATTGAAGCCTTGGAATCAGAGTGATCAGGAACAGCCATCCAGACTTTGGTTTAAACTTTTTGTTACCGGTTTTAACCCAGGGCTCAACAAATCTCAGGCACCAGGTCACCATGGTGACTAGTAATTATGTCCTGGCGCACGGGTGTTTGTCGGTCCTTCGGCCCAGCCGGCTGAGGGAGAATGGAGGCAGGCGGCGAGGGAACGTTGATGTCTGGGCTTTTCCAGCACTGCACCCTCGCACACCCTGCCTTGATGCCAGGAACCGGGTTATGACATCACTCCAGCCCCATAAAACGGTGCGAGAGGGAGCAGAGTAAGAAGATCTTAAAGATGATTACAGCTGGACCCCAGGGAAAGGACCATTGTAAAGCCCCCTTGAGAACAATGCGCACTTTGTAGACCCTTGTGGTAACTCAGCCAGCTCGGAGAGATGCTATCTCTGCCACTAAAACCAATGCTTCCACTTTGAGCAATGATGTCACGGCAGGCAAGATGAGCGGAGGTTAGAAGCCAGTCTCACCACTGGATTAAAGAAAAACAGTATTAAATACACAGTGAGGGCCCTAATCTTAAATTAAAAAAGGAACACTGACATCTAAATATCAATATATCTAAGTAAACACATTTAACGTTGAAACATCACTCACCGGAAAAGCCAAAGTCAGACTGCACTATGTACTTGCGATGGGAACTGTTGCTCAGGTTTGGAAAGTAGACATCCAGAGACAGGAAGATCCCGCACGCAAAGAATGCAATGACTCCAATACCAATCCCATATCTGCACGCATCAGCATTGCCACCAAAGATACAGAAAACCTGTCCTTGCCGGTCACTCGGATACCCATCAGTCAGAATGCAAGCAAAAACGATGATAGCAAAAACCTGCAGAAACAGAGAGAGAGAGACATGGTCAACATATTGATATGGTATATTTCCAGCGTAAAGACCCCCAACCACAAACGACTGGTTGGCTTAGCACGGCAACGTATCTCAAACCAAGTGTGGACGCAAAAGAACGACAACGTCCACAATGCTTTGCCAGCTTTAAGGGATGAAACGCAGTCTGCAAAGAAATCCTGTAATATACTGCAAACCGCCCGTCACTACTAGAATGCAGCAAGGAGAGAGGTACTGGGCTTTGCAATACAAAATATAAATTACATGTGAATATACAGCGTTTGCATAAAGATAATTAAACATAGGATGCTGCGTTTTACCGACATCCAGGAGAGAGTGTAACCAAACACAGTGAAATGAGGGTGAGATGTTTAAGAACTATACTTTCCCATAATGCACACTGGTGCCAAATATTGGCACTCTCAAACTTCCCTGTCTTAAAGGCACATAAATATCCAGTGAGGCCCAAATAATAGCATATCCTGGATCTTCATCAATGTGTAAAAACATAGTATCCCCCTCCCCGACCATCAAATCCAACGTAATGGGGTTGGCACGGAGAGAAGTGTCCTTCCCTGAAAGTGCACACACATATTCTCACATTAGTGTGAACGTGAGCAGAACGCCAGCCAGCAGGACGCACACAGCTTACAATTCACACAAATCACCAGAGAGCACGTTTTCATGCGAAATAAGTCTGCTTGCACCGTTTAGTGTGAACGTGAGGAGAACGACAGTCAGCAGTCTCCAGTCACACGCTAAGTCATTTTGGCAAACTACACAATGGAAGCACCAGAACCTGGCAATGTGATCCCAGTCACACCCCCATAAAATAAAGTCTTTCCACCACCCCTGAGGGGTACTCGTGTTTGTTTTTTTTGTTTTTTTTTAAACACACACACAATCCAATTGTTCCCTGCGAGAGGGCATTGTTTTCTAGTATCGTGGTTAGAAACTTCTGCTAACCTAGACATGGTGGACAGCCAGTTGGGCTCTCGGTGCGGAGGGCCATGGATTTGGTGTCAGATCTATCCCCACAAGAAGTAGTTTCAGCCACACTACAATTCCGGTTAGATTCAACACAGCAAGACAAACATTGCAAAGCAGAATACGGGGACTTTCAACTATAACCGACACCGTAACTTGTGTGTGGATTGCGGAGATCAGCTGACGACTGACTGCCCCAAACCATGAGTGAATGTGTGCCCTCCCCCCCTGCTGAACATAACTGACACCAGCTTATTTAACACGTCTGGGGTCAATGCTCAGATCACGTGACCATATTATAATATGCAAGGCCCATTTGATGTTTATACCTGAAAGGGAAACTTACCACCAAAAACAGTACATTTGATGGTGGTTTTGGTCCAAAGACCCTTTCCTTGCAGACTGACAAAAAAAAAATAATACACACAAATAATGTTCCCATAAGAGCTATACAGGCGACTTTGTTACGACCAGATTATTCTGTTGTTGGTTGTTCAAAAGGTTAAAAACTTTATTATTTAAAAAGAACCTTGGGGTGCAAGTGGTACAGTTTCTTTGAGCAGACTTTAAAATTGGATTAACTTATAAAGACGACACAAAAGGGTTACTAAGCACTAAAACCACGTCTGCATGTGGCTATGATGCAATGTTTCACCACAGAGATATTTTAGTTTAATTCCTGGGATTTACTCCACGTCCAGCGCCTATCGTCAGCCAACATGGCTTCCAGGCTGCCCGTCCACACCAAACATGGCTTCCAGGCTGCCCGTCCACACCAAACACGGCTTCCAGGCTGCCCGTCCACACCAAACACGGCTTCCAGGCTGCCCGTCCACACCAAACACGGCTTCCAGGCTGCCCGTCCACACCAAACACGGCTTCCAGGCTGCCCGTCCACACCAAACACGGCTTCCAGGCTGCCCGTCCACACCAAACATGGCTTCCAGGCTGCCCGTCCACACCAAACATGGCTTCCAGGCTGCCTAGCCACACCAAACATGGCTTCCAGGCTGGCTAAGTAGAATGACAGCGCTGTGAGCGCACAGATAGCGGCCCCTTATGTGAGTGCACGGATGGATTTGTGTGAAAGGATCTCACTGTGAAGCAATCTGCTGTGTGATATCCAGGAAATCCTACACTGGCCACAGATCACCTGACTGCAAGCAGGCAGCTTATTATTGTTTCCCATGTACAGAGCAGGAAGGAATGGAATGACAAGCTCTGTATCACATGCTGCTGGGACTGAGAGCCAGCAGTGCAAGTAAACAGTAATTCATACCTAATCCTGTTAACCATTTAAAGTCACAGCCCAGCCCCTATAAACCATTTAAAGTCACAGCCCAGCATTTAACATCACAGCCCATATAAACCATTTAAAGTCACAGCCCAGCATTTAACATCACAGCCCATATAAACCATTTAAAGTCACAGCCCAGCATTTAACATCACAGCCCATATAAACTGTTTAAAGTCACAGCCCAGCATTTAAAGTTAGCAAATTAAAGTCACAGTCCAGGCCCTGCAGCACCTGGATACTAATAACACGTCACCTTTCTCTCCAAATAGTAACAGTGAATGGGTTAATGGGGGGTTATTAATATCCACCCAGCAGTGAATGGGTTAATGGGGGGTTTATTAATACCCACCTAGCAATGAATGGGTTAATGGGGATTTATTAATACCCACCTAGCAGCGAATGGGTTAATGGGGATTTATTAATACCCACCTAGCAGCGAATGGGTTAATGGGGGTTTATTAATACCCACCTAGCAGCGAATGGGTTAATGGGGATTTATTAATACCCACCTAGCAGCGAATGGGTTAATGGGGATTTATTAATACCCACCTAGCAGCGAATGGGTTAATGGGGATTTATTAATACCCACCTAGCAATGAATGGGTTAATGAGGGGGTTATTAATACCCACCTAGCAATGAATGGGTTAATGAGGGGGGGGTTATTAATACCCACCTAGCAATGAATGGGTTAATGAGGGGGTTATTAATACCCACCCAGCCATGAATGGTTTAATGGGGTTTTATGTCACTATACAGGGAGGCTGCCCAATAGGTAGATACCCAGAGATGTTAAAACTACAGCTTCCATGATGCCTTGTCATTCTAGCTGCAAAGCATCATGGGAGTTGTAGTTTTAAACCACCTGGGGATCTAACTAATAGGCAGCCCTGGTCTACATTATTATTATCCCATGGGACTGCATCTCCCACTATCCCCCTCCCCCCCGACTCCGACTATCCCCCGACTCCACTATCCCCCCAGACTCCGACTCCACTATCCCCCCAGACTCCGACTCCCACTATCCCCCGGACTCCTGACTCCCACTATCCCCAGACTCAAAACCACTCTCCCGGACTCTGACTCCCACTATCCCCCCAGACTCCAAATCCCCTCCCACTATCCCCCAGACTCCGACTCCCACTATCCCCCGGACTCGGCTCACTATCCCCGGACTCTGACTCCCACTATCCCCGGACTCCTGACTCCTATCCCCCCGGACTCCTGGCTCCCACTATCCCCGGACTCTGGCTCCCACTATCCCCCGGACTCTGACTCCCACTATCCCCCGGACTCTGACTCCCACTATCCCCAGTTACTCACCGCGCTGGCCACCCTTAGTACCGTCTCCGGCCGCCTGAGGAAGGACTCGAAGCTGAAGCTGCCCCCGGCCTTGGCCGCACCGTACGCCCCGCTCTCCATCCCGCTCACTAAACACTTCCGGCTTCACGGCAAGGGCGGCGCCTAGCACTGACTGACGTCACCGGGACACGCCCACAGCCCGGGGCCAGAGCTGACAGGGGGCGGGGCTTACTCACTCATGGAGGAGGAGACTGGCTGTTCTATTATTATTATTATTATATTATTATTTATATTATTATTATTATAATTATTATTTATATTATTATTGTATTATTATATTATTATTATTATGTACATATTATTATAATTTTATTATTATTATTATTATATTATTATTTATATTATTATTATTGTATTATTATTATTATTATTTTATTATTATTTATATTATTATTATTATAATTATTATTTATATTATTATAGTATTATTATTATATTATTTATATTATTATATTATTATTTACATATTATTATAATTTTATTATTATAGTATTATTATTGTATTATTATTTACATTATATTTAATTTATTATTGTATTATTTATATTATATTATTATTGTATTTGTTTGTTGCTCTTTGTTGGTAATTATTATAAGTTTGAAATTATTTGACTTTTCTGTCAGGGTTTTCCCTAATCTTTTGCAACATTATTTTGCTATTTACTAATAATAATTACAAACAGAGGCGGCTCTCTAATTAGGCGATTTAGGCGGCCACGTAAGGCCTCGCGCTTGCTGGGGCCTCGCAACCGCCTAAATCACCTTAGGGCAGACTGAACTGTCGGATATTCGGTCCATGACTGAGGACCCGACAGTGAGAGGGGGCCCGGCGGCTTGCCCAGTATGCCGCTGGGTGGCTCCGCCAAATGCAGAGCTGCAGATCACATAATAAAGTTCTCGCAAGCTCACAGAGCGTTGCCGCTGATACGCTCTGATACGCACTTGCAAGAACAAGGTCTGCAGTTCTCATGGAGCTGCAGACAGAATAGTCATCCCACCCCCACTGCCCCAACACTGCCCTCCCACCCCCACTGCCCCAACACTTCCCTCCCATCCCCACTGCCCCAACACTGCCCTCCCACCCCCACTGCCCCAACACTTCCCTCCCATCCCCACTGCCCCAACACTGCCCTCCCACCCCCACTGCCCCAACACTGCCCACCCACCCCCCCCACCTCCTGCCCACCCATACACTGCCCCAAACCTTCCCTCCACCCCTCACTGCCCCAACACTGCCCACCCACCCCCACTGCCCTCACTGCCCACCCATATACACTGCCCCAACACTGCCCTCCAACCCCCACTTCCCCAACACTGCCCTCCCACCCACACTGCCGTGCCCCAACATACCCTGCCCCAACATACACTGCCCTGCCAGTCACATGCCCTGCCCCCACACTGCCCTGCCCACCACATACACTGCACCCACGTTGCCCTGCTGCCCACATATTCTGCCCCCCACATACCCTGCCCACCACATACACTGCACTCACATTGCCCTGCACCACATACCCTGCCCCCCACATACACTGCCCCCACACTGCCCACCAAATGCCCTCTCCCCCACACTGCCCTGCCCCACACACACTGACCACCACATACACTGCCCCCCACACTGATGACCACCACATACACTGCCCCTCACACTGACCACCACATACACTGACCACCACATACACTGACCGCCACATACCCTGCCCCCCACACTGACCACCACATACCCTTCCCCCACTCTGACCACCACACACCCTGCTCCCCCACACTGTATTCCACACACTCTGCCACCCACACGGTCACACACCCTGCCCTCCTACACTGTCATACACACTGCCCCCTCATTCTGTCACACACCCTGTCCTCTCTACACTGTGTCCCACACACCTTGCCCTCCCACACTGTAACACACCCTGTCCCCCCACACTGTCACACACTACCCCACACTGTCACCATCCTCCACACAGCCACCCCACACTGTCACCCACTCACACCCTGCCCCCGAAACTGTCACATTCCTCCACACTGCTCCCTCACCCTGTTACCCTTTCACACACTTGCACCCCATATTGTCAGCCCCCAACACTATGTCACCAATACATACAGTCACCCCTCCCACACACTGTCACCCTTTCCAACACTGCCTCCCACACTCTCACCTACCCACTGTCACAATTCCACACACATACAGCCACCCCCCACACTGTCACCCCCACATGCTGTCATGCCCCCTTTACCCAGCCTCCCTCACATTAACCTCTCCTAATCTTGTTGCTCTCACCCCCTCCATCCATACCACAATTACCGGCCCTCGCTCTTCTACACTCATCCTATCACATTAATCCCCCTAATCCTATCACACTCATATTCTCTCATACTGTTACAC